AAAGAAATAAGATTCTAGACAATGTACATTGTGAAGGAAGTAATTTCTATTGAAATATTAAGAAGTATCATCACCTTTCATTCAGTAAAGTTGCCTATGAATCCATATCAACGGTTTACTTTTTAACAGTATTTTGCAGACCGAGATATTTTCTGTGCTGGCCGTGTGGCTGAGGAAGATCTACATAGGGTTGCTGCTGCAACTGGTGGAACTGTACAGACATCTGTCAACAACGTTATTGATGAGGTACACATGTTTTCTGCTATAGTAATTTTATGTAATTGTATAGGAACTTATGTTCTTGGTGTTCCTCTGTTTTTCATGTGACATTACTTTACTTTGTTGGCTTAAAGGTTCTTGGGACATGTGAGGTTTTTGAGGAAAAGCAAGTTGGTAATGAAAGATATAATATATTCAGTGGTTGTCCATCAGGTAGAACAGCCACCATAGTCCTTCGAGGTGGAGCTGATCAGGTATGGCTTTTGTTGAAAACATCAAATTGAATATATCACATTGTGTTTGCTAATTATTCTGAATTTGCTACACTTCTATTATCATTTAGTTTATTGAAGAAGCAGAACGTAGCTTGCACGATGCAATCATGATTGTTAGAAGAGCAATGAAGAATTCTACTGTTGTTGCTGGAGGCGGAGCAATTGATGTATGTTTACTATTTCAGTTAGAGCTTAATTTGACCGTTTGTCTTTGATTTAAATATCCCTTCTCGCTTTTTTTCTACCAATCACTTTGTTGCAGATGGAGATCAGTCGATATTTGAGGCAACATGCACGCACAATAGCTGGCAAGTCTCAGCTTTTCATCAACTCATATGCCAAAGCCCTTGAGGTAGATCAGTATCCTCTCGCTTATTTTTTCTACTTGAGTTTTTATGTTGTGTAGTGCCAAGACTCATTGATGACTATTTTGGAGTTAGATTGGAAAGATTTAAAATTCTCTGAAACTAAATGCAACTGTAAGCACAGAACATCATTCCTTCGTTTGGAAATTTTGAGTGCCAAAGTTTCTTTTAAAGACCAGAACATACTGTATACTACCATCACTGCTTGCCTGCACATCCTTGGTTGACGAATCCATTTATTTAAACGATGCTCTGATTTCATTGCACAGCTCTATCTTGTGTCTTTGGCTGTTGAAAATAAATTTTTTACCTCCCGTTTTGAAACGTTTGTTATTTAAATATTTGTTCCTGGCCTTGCTGCCTGATAAATTTGAGTTGGGCACTTCTTTGCCTATTAAAAGGGTTAGGAAATTAATGAAAAATGTATCCTATACGAATAGAATGGAAAGGTAAGGGCTGGGTGTTCTACAAATTAGTATACATTCTTTTGACATTCTTTTACCTCCAGGATATTGTTTATGATATAATCGTCCCCCACTCATACTTGAACATTATCAACTCATCCTTGCTGAATGATAATTCTGGAAACATGAACAATGTTTCTCTTCTTAATGCTAATGTGTAGTAGGAGGATCTTGGTCTATTCATGGTTTTATGTGGTATACCTTACTGGGCTGTCTTGCTGTGGTCCTGCAGGTTATACCCAGACAACTGTGTGACAATGCTGGATTTGACGCTACTGATGTGCTTAACAAATTGCGACAGAAGCATGCACATCCTTCTGGTAGAATTTTTCGTCTCAAAATTGCTTGTTCTTGGCATCCTTACTTTCATTCGATTAACGGTCAAGTTTAATTAAAGTGCATGATGTGATGATCCATTTCTTTCATCCTGTTTCTTTTTGGCCTGGTTGCAATGACAATTATAGTTTGTCTGTCCTTGGATTTACTGTGCTACATCAATTTTCAAATGATTGTATAATGACATTTTGATGTTCTCAAATAGGTGAGGGTGCACCGTATGGGGTGGACATCAACACCGGTGGAGTTGCTGATTCATTTGCAAACTTCGTATGGGAACCTGCTGTTGTGAAGGTATCTGATTGCATTGACTCGTTGCTGTAAAAACAATCAGTGCCCATTGGAAGCACCTTGATTTTAAAATTTGTACCCTTGCTTGCAGATAAATGCTATTAATGCTGCTACAGAGGCAGCTTGTCTCATATTAAGCGTTGACGAAACTGTGAAGAATCCCAAGGTTATTATTTGATCGAGTAACTCTGTTTTGCGATTTCTTTTTTGCTCAGTCATGTGTTACTAATAACGATTCTCCCCCCTCCTCCTACCTTTATCATGCCAGTCCGAGAGTGCACAGGGAGAAGCTGCTGCCAGTGCCATGGGCGGAAGACGTGGTGGCGCTGCATTCCGTGGCCGTGGACGTGGAATGCGAAGATAATAAGCTTCATTCAACTCTTGCTGGCGAGAAGCACGGTTTGGTTAGTTCAATTTTTACTTCGTTGCCTTCGTGTGCTTTTCAAGTTGTACTACAACAATCAGATTTTAATCTTATTAGGCCAATACACAAAACCTTGAGTGATTTTGATTATATATAGAACTTTACAATGGAGAGTGATTTTGATGCTGCATCTGATTGCTGTTTTTTCCTTCCTTTTTGTGGACCCAACACTCATTTTGTAGTTTCGAATTATTTGTAGAGAAACCAATTTTCTTCAAGTTCTTTTCTCTCTCTGGAATTATAGTTTATATTTGGTAAGAAATGCAATTAGTTTCTTAGTTTCTATACTTTTGTCCTTCAAAATTTGAAAGGATGAATAGAATTGAAGTGAAATGTGCATATATTTATTTGATGTTGGATCTTGAATTAGATGTGTGGATGAGAGAGATGAGTGTGTGTAGCCTTCCAACAATAAAGTCTGTCATTTCCATAACTTTGCAATAATACAAACTTTAGGAAATATATGATAACATGGCCTGCATGCCAACCATACTGTCCCTTACTATTTGTACTCATTAATTATTGTGTTACCAATTATTAACTTTCCATATGTTTTCTTTCAGGAATTAAATTTATTGCTAATGTTTTTTCAGGAATTAGGTATTTTGGGTTCACATTGATATTTTTAAGGTAATGTTCAGAATTCGGAATTTTGCAATTAAAGTTTTATTTCTATGTATGAACTTCCTAATAACGATTAAAAATATCAATGTTTTTTTTTAATGTTAAGGGCTCTATTGTTCGATTATCAAAATTAAGTTGTTTTTACTTCTAAATTAGATTATAGATCTTGTTATTAGTATTCATATTGATACTACACGAGTCATTGGTTCAAGTCCAAAAGTATGTAGAACTGATTAGATACTACACGAGTCAATAGTATCTAATAAGTTTTTCTTTTCAGTTCTATTGATTTTCTATCTTTTCCATCCCACTCTATATTTATCTATATTTATTTCATTTTTTTAATTATAATTCTTTTTTACATGAAAATTTCATTTCACTTGATTATTTAGACGGATCAACTACGTACGCTATTTTCCTTGTTAGTTTCTAGTCTGTCCTAATTCGTCTGAGAGCTAAATTTTCCTCGATTATTTATCTCTATTAAGGATATTTGAGATGAGTAATATTTAACATCGAAAATTTTCAATTTTTAGATATTTCAATCCTTTCTTCCAAGAACGACCAATTTTGGATACAATTTTTTTTTTTTAATTCTATTTTGGTTTTCAAAATTTCATACTTATTTTGGTTTGGTTATGATTTTTGTCCTCAAATTTGAATGCAAAATTACAATTTTGTTTGTGTTTGATAGAGAGTTTAGGAAGGAATAATTGCGAAAATGTTGAAAGGAATTAAAATACCATTTTGGTTACATTCCGTTTAGTTCACTTTAATTCTTCATTTTTGTTTTTTGCCTTGTACTTCCAAAAAAATCTTAAATTTAGTATTCCAATTTTCTTTTTATATACATTAATTAAATAATAATAATAATAGTTTTCATTCAAAAAATAATTATATAAATATGTTTTCACGATTTATAAGTGGAATGGATACTATTTTTCATAAAAAAAAAAAAATAATAAACTAATTAAAGGGATTAGTTTTAATATTTATTAAAAATACAAAAATGTGATATTTTACCTTATAAAAAAAAAGTTAAATTCAAAGACATTTCTAATACTCAATACAAGCTTTAATTATACTTCTAAATTTAATGTTTTTTTTTCACACTTTTCTTTAGATGATTTTTACTAGAACATCCAAACAAAAAGTTTAAAAACAAAAATAACTATATACATATATATATATATATATATAAAGTTGTAACGGCTCAGATCCACCGTCCTTTTTGGGTTTTCCCTTGTAAAAACCCTTTGTTTCTTTCAATCTTTTTCAGCGTAACGAATCTTATACATATGTTGGGTTAAAATACAAAACTTATTGATTTTCACTTCCGGGCCATTTTGCAGTCAAATTCCACAGGTGTTAACAGAGGAACTTTTTTCCCTTTTTAAGACAAGGTTGTTAACTCGATTTGAAAAGTTGTCGAAGGTTTTAAAATGCGTCTATTAAAAGATGGACTTTTCCTTTTGGACTTTCCAAACTTTAAAACGCGTCTGCTAGGAAAAAGCCACTTTTTTTATTTTTAAAATTTGACTTCATGGTGATAGGCTTACCGACAAATGGTAAAGAAACGAACATAAAAAAAAAAAAAGAAAAAAAAAAGACAAAAATAAGGTTTTTATTTTTTATATTATACCATATGCTTGTTTCTTCTCAATTTCTTTACTATGGTTTCTACATCTTTTAAATAAATATTTGAATTTTTAATCAAATTCTAAATAATACAACAATTTTTTTTTTTAAAAAATAATTAGTTTGGTATATGAACCCTTATAATTTATTTTAAATTTTTTTTGGAGATTACTCAAAGTTCAAAGAAAGTTGACCATGTAAGTAATATTTTATAGTCACTCTCTTAATGAAGATTAAAAAAAAAATAAAAAATAAAAAGAATAATAATAAAAAACATGTCAGTGAAGTCAGGACCTCGAGCCTGGAAAAAAAATCCAAACCCCAATTAAAAAAAAAAAATAATAAATAAATAAAAAGAAAAAGATAAAGGATTCAAACCCCCCATGCAAATAAATCTTCAATTACTTGATCATGTTTGTTTAATTAATTGACTAATCAACCAATCGGGTATGGATTTCTCACTCGCTTTCGTGACGACCACGCGTCACTTTGGGACCTTTACCGTTTCCGTCTTGCGGTGGTGGCGCGTCATCAGCACTCGACGCACACGCAGGCAGCGCGTTGCATAACTTCCGGCATTTCCGCTCCTCTTCTCCAATCTCCGCTCTTCGTCTCGTAGATCAGTACCAAACCTTCCTTTAATCCTCTTGCGCTTCTTCCGCTTCGGCGAAGTAAATCGTCGATGCAGCCAGCGACCTGAATCAGCACCACCGTCTCTCCCACTCCGACGCAGCTGAATCTCACTGTGCTGTCCAGCCGGAACTGCGGCGGGAGCGGCGGACTTTTTATTCTGTACCACTCGCCGAATCCGGTGGTTTTGGTTGAGCTTTGGGTGGTGGTGTGTCTATTGGAGTTGTTAGGGCACTTTCTTTTTGCGTCGAATTTCCAGAACGAGAGCTCGACGGCGTGGCTAGCGAGGACGAAGATATGACCCGCCGCCGCACACGCCGCCACCACGCAGCCTCCTCCTGGTACTGCGCGGCTTCTCAGCCACGTACGCGCCTCCACATCGTACATATCCATGGAGCTCGCGTAGATATGAGCCTCCGATCCACCAGCGGCGCGTGATGTTAGGTTACCTGAAACTCCTCCCCCGATCTTCAATCCTCCAATCACGTAGAACACACCGTCCACAGCGGCTCCGATACAACCGTAGCGTCTTCTCGTTGACTGAGCAACGACTTGCCAAGAGTCCGTCTCTGGATCATACATCTCCACCGCCGTCGTGGTCGCAGCACCGCCAGCGACGTAGATTCTACCGGAAATCACCGCATTGGCGAATTTCTTCCTGGAGAAATTCATTGCAGATCTGGCGGTGACCATTCCAGACCAGGTATCGTAAAGGAACATCGCATTTCGGCCAATTAGGTAAATCCTAGGTCCAATGGCAGAGAGGCGCGCGTGAGAGAGCAATCCATAGAAATTACTAAGGAACAAACTCTCCTTGGCTCTGAACAGCGCAACCTTCCACAATCCGCCGTCTCGGAAGTTGAAACTCGCTGCAAATAGGCCGTAATTAGTTGCAGAAACAGCATAAACAGTATCCTCCAAATGACCGCGAAGACGGCGAAGATCGACAAACGAAGAGGAAAGCAGAAGTCGAGACCACTGACGGCAAACGAGAGAAACGGAAGGAAGAGATGCGGACGGAACTCTGGAAAGGCACTCCAAAAGAAGGTCGTCGGGAAGGGAGGAGACGGCGGCAGGGGGTGGGGGTAGGTGATTCGCCGTGATATTAGTAGTTTCGAAGCAAGATTTGGAGTGGAGAGGGACGGTGGCGGAGGAATCGTTAGGGTTAGGGAAGCAAGATTTGATGAACCAGGAGAAATGGCGAGAGTTTGAGCCGGAGTTGTCCGACGCCATTGACGCCATTAGAGAAGAACCAAAGCTTTTAGCATCCAAATTTTGTTCCTCTCTCTTTGTGTGGCTATCAAAATCACAGAAATTCAGAATTTCCCAAAAAAAAAAAAAATTATATTATATTATATTATTTATTATTATTATTTTTTTGCCTACTATACAATTATATATATACGTATTTTTTATTTAATTTTCTAATTAATCTTTTATTAAAAATAAAATTTAATTAGTTTAAATAAATGTTTGAAATTAAATAAATAAATAAATATTTTATCAATTTGAATAAATGACTCGAACCAACCAACTAAAAAAATTTGTAATTGAATTGGGTCGGATTATTATTCAATAAAAGTAATTTTTGTTGAAAAAATTTACGACTCCAACGATTAATTTAGTTCTTACCGCACAACAACGAACACTACTGCTTCATTCAAAGTATTAGTAATATTTTTTATATGTTGACGTTTGAATTTTTATCGGTCCTCGATTTAAACCTTTATTATATTATATTCTAAAAGAACGTATTAAAAGTGTCAATATAAAAGGAAAAGTATTGAAAAGATAAAATATTTGATGTTAAATAATTTTTTTTAAATTTTTTTATTTTGACAAGAATCTTATCCTTTAGATTCTCGTTTCTTCATTTTTATTTGTTTAGGTGAAATTACTTTATGTATCTAATAGGTCCTTGAACTTTTAATTTTGTATTTAATCCACATATTCAAGAATCTAACTTGAATAAATTTTAAATTTAATTTTAAAAAATTATTAGTAAATGTAGCAAATTAAATTTAAAAATTTAAGTGAAAGGATAAAATAAAAGATTGTTTAAAGGATAATAATTTATAATTTGAAAAATATAAGAGATTTGATTAAAAGAAAAATAATATAATAAATTGAAGAAAAAATGGCTAATTTAATTTATTTAAACCTTTAAAAAATGTTTATTTTATAATTAGATTTGCAAATAAACTAATTCATTTGATAATTATTAAACCTTACTTTAACAATTGACATGATAACATGTCTTAGATTTCTTGAAAAATACATTTTTTTAGGGTAAATTACTTTAATCAAAATCTATAATGCTAATTATTTACGATATTCATTTTAGAACTTTCGGGTAATTTTTTTTAGTTTAATGATATGTGTGTTAGACGAACACGACTCTCCACAATGATATGATATTGTCCACTTTGAGCATAAACCCAAAAGGCCTCATACCAATGGAGAGTGTATTCTTAGATTATAAACTCGTGACCATTCCCTAAATTAACTAATGTGAGACACTTCCATCCAACAATGTGGAATCGAGAACGGAATCACTGACCTTTTAATTGAAAGTATATATTATTAACCAATTGAGCCACGTTAGGTTGATGAAACCTCAAATGATAATTGTCCATTCTTTTCGTATTCAAATGATTACGAACTTATTATAAGTTGGATTAGGTTCATATTTGATAATTTATTTTTCAACTAATTATTCTAAATTTTAACAATTTTGAAAATAATTCTCCGAAATATAACTTACAAATTTTTTTTAACATTTTACTTTATTACAAATAAAAATTTAATTAAATGATCCGATTAACCCGAACCAACATAATCTAAAGAATTACTGATGAGTTGCATTCATTATTTAATTGTTTGAGTTGAAAAAATTTACAATTGAGTAAGGTCTAAAATGTCTTAACCCGACCCACGAACACCTCTACTTGATCTTAACCAAAAAGCCGATAAACGTATAAAATAACAAAAATGTCGAACTTCTTCCTCCTACGACTACGAAAGTGAGTCTCTTCAGCTCTTTTCGATTACTTCTTCCTCCTACGACAACAAAAGCCAGTCTCTTCGACGTTTTTCGATATTTATAGCTCGGTATCAAACTTAAAAAATGAACAGAAACAGTCAAGTTAAACTACAAAGCTTCATTCATGCAAATATGAATCATGTTAGAGTAAGAAGAACTACAGAGGACATACTTTGTTAGGACTCTGAAACAGAAAGGCAAACAAAAAAAACAAGATGCCTTAATGTTAGGAAGGAAAGAAAGGTCACCACAAAACACATAGTGGAACCCAATAATTCTACTACTATCAAATGTTGAGTAATAATAGTAACTAACAACAATTTACATTTAGGGGAGTTCGAGATCAGAGATCTACAAAGGTTCATCAGTTCGGTGATGGAGCTCGGTCGTTCGGTCCAGCAAGAACGATCTGCTCAACACGAGTATGTATGTATATAAGCATAAGATCTAAGATCCAGAAGAAAATGGAAAACGAAGGGGTGAAACTGCTACTCGAGAGGAACGATGGTGAATCTCTCTCGATATCAGTTTCATGTTAGCATGACAAGTTTCTAAAGTTTTCTTTGGTTATCAGACTCAATCATTGCAGTACTTTTGAATCAAGATTGAATTCTTTTTCTCTACTTTGAGAACCGTGTGAATAGAGAATGCTAGTGACGGTCTCCTACGAGAGTTTCAATGAGTAGATCTTAGTTCTATGTTTCAACCCTTTTGTAACTGTCCAAGCCTACCGCTAGCAAATACTGTCTATGAGACCCCATATTGGTTGGGAAGGAAAACGAATCATTCTTTATAAGGGTATGGAAACCTGTCCCTAGCAGATGCGTTTTAAAAACCTTGAGGGGAAGCCCAAAAGGAAAAACCCAAAAAGGACAATATCTGATAGCGTAGGCTTGAGCCGTTACACTGTCCTCTTTGAGCTTTCCCTTCCGGGGTTTCCCTCAAGGTTTTAAAACGCGTCTGTCTGACGGTGATACATAACAAGACAAAGCAGAAAATATCTGCTAGCAGTGGGCTTAAGCTGTAACACCTTTATAAACTACCGTTTAAATGAACTATTGGTTAGTTGATAGTTCGTTTTAAACATAAACTCCATTTACTTGGTTGGGGTCAACTTTCCTCCCGCCCCTTTCATCCTATCAATGAACGTTTTATTTCCCATCATAATAAAATATTTCAAAACGCTCATGTATACGGCATCCTACTTATCGGTACGTGAAGATTTCATGTTAATAGTGTTGTAGTAGAGTGTGAGGAGGAACGTACATTGCAATCAAAAGCGAACCTCCTGGCTAGCATTATGGCTGCGTTCCTGTCTCTCTCGGATTCGAATGCTAATACGACAGAAAGATCTTTCGTAGCTTGCCAAAACAACGCTTGAGCTGCAGCGTTACCACCGCCCCGAACTCCACATAACTAAGGCCAAGAATGAGAGTTAGAAGAGACTGAGTAAGCCAAGATGCTTACATCCAAACTGATACATTCTTACTGGTTTACAAGTTACCTGCATTGATGAAGAATAGAATTCTTTTGCGATGGTGTTCTTTCCCTTGCAGAGCTTTATTCGCATCTTTCCGACATGGAGCGCGTGGATCGACTCGGATGGATGATTTACTCCATTCAGCTGAGTAAGAACTACCTGAAGTGGAAAAAACACAAGGAAGTTTACCTACTCCATAAAATAATATTGCTCGAGACGAATTATAAAAGATGTTAAACATGAAATCGAGCAGGGACCGTACATCACTAGGATTCCTCTCCAACCCTTTTAAACAATATGTTATTTCGCTCACCCCAACAAGCCATAAGAACCTGTAACAGTCCAAGCCCACCGCTAACAGATATTGTCCTCTTTGGGCTTTTCCTTTCGAGCTTTCCCTCGAGGCTTTTAAAATGCGTATGCTAGGGAGAGGTTTCCATACGCTTATAAAGAATGCTTTATTTCCCTCTCCAACTGATGTGGGATCTCACAATCCACCTCCCTTTGGAGTCCAGCATCCTCACTGACACTCGTTCCCCTCTCCAATCGATGTGGGATCTCACGATCCATCCCCCTTCGGAGCCCAGCGTCCTCGCTGACACTTGTTTCTCTCTCCAATTGATGTGGGATCTCACAAAACCGATCATTTTCACGAAGAGGATGAAGGAGAAACTCCCTTATCATAACACTAGTGTTCCTATGTCGAGCTAGCGAAAAACCAAACGTTTGAAAGAAAAGATTCCAAATGAATCTCGTTAAATCACATCTCCAAAGAAAATGTGATTTGGGTCTTCCTCCGCCTTCCGATAGAGAATACAACAACACGGGTCAACTAAAGAGGGCGTTTTTCTTGCAAGCAGATCCTTAGGATTAGCTCGACCATGTAAGACTTGCAATGTAAACAACTTCACTTTCCTTGGATTCTTAATCCTCCCTCGGGTAGAAAAAATTGACTCATGTAAGGGAGGAAGAAAACTCTTCGAAGGGTTGGGACTCCACACTCGAACATCCCTTTACCGATCCTAAAAATGAGCTTTCCAAGAAAGGCCAAGAGAGAGATAACACCCGTCGCTTTCCTATCGGTCAAAGCGTGATAAAACCCAAACTAAAAGGAAACTGAGCTCCCCGATCATACCAAAAATCTAGACACCACACGATTTTTCAAGGAAGACAAATGATAGAGACAAGGGAACGCAAAACAAAGGGTTCTATCCCCCACCCATAATGAACCAAGTGAGACAAAGAAGGGAGCTCAAAAAAATATCCTTCTATAAATTCTGAGAAGTGTCATTGACCCCACTCGACAACCACGAAAAAGGACGAGGACCAAACTAGCCAGCAATAATCCTATTCTAGAGAGTTGGCAAAACGCCAAAGCCATTTGACAAACAAAAAAAACGTAACTCATACCACTCCTGCATATGACAAAATCGACATAAAGAGAAGGACAACGTACATTAAACTCAACATCATGTTTCCGCACGAGGGCTTCAACATAGCTTCCCAGACCAGCAGCTGTTCGAAAAGCCAAGATTTAGTTTCGTTCCACGAATTCATGCAAAACAATCGCCAAACAACAATAGCAACGAAAACAAGAATTATTGATTACATTATATGCTTTGTGTATACCTGGATCAATGGGGCCAGTGGTGGTCAAAGTGATTCTATGGTCGTCTAAATTAACGTCAGCTTGCAATATTTTCCCGACGTCAAAAGGCTCGGGAGCATAAACTGATTTTGTAGCTCCTATGATAATAAAACGAAGAAATATACTGAGCATTTAGCGTTACGA